AAAAGTAAATCAATATTTTAGAACCAATGTACCCTAAGAACTCGATGTACCCTCGATGTACCCTTTTTCGATGTACCCTTGGATCGTGGGCCCTCAAGGAATTAGCTGTCAGTGAGGATCAATGATGGGGAAAACATAAAGCTTTGCCCGCGAAGCTCAGGCGGTTTTCGGTTTTTAACTTTGTTCAAAGACAAGATACAGTACCCTACTTAGTCTCATTTTGTAGATTTTAAGTTCTTCTACAATTTGCAGTTTGGCCGATCTAAAATTATCAGACCTGAAGAAATCTAGGAAAAAGTCCGTTTTTGGTCTGTTTTAGATCAGTTTTCGGCCCATAGTTAGCCTGTTTTTTCGCCCGCTTTCGGTCCGTTTTTGGCCCGTTCTTGACCCGATTTTGGACCGTTTGTGGCATACTTCTAAACTGTTTTTGGTCCGTTTTTCGCCTGTTTTTGGCCGGTTTTTGATCTGTTTTTGGTTTATTTTTGACACAAAAGGTCAAAAGTGTGTCAAAGAGAGATAAAAAACGGATTAATTTCTTTGGATGTTAAAAAATTCGAAAAAAAATTTTAAAAAACCAAAAAATCAAGAGATCGAAAATCTGAAATTCGGAAATTCAGATATTCGAAACTTCAAAACTTCACTTATTGGTCCATTCTTCGTCCATTTTTGGTTTATTTGGTCCGTTTTCAGGGGTTTTAATATCTAATCGTATGTATGTGTCGTTTTTTTCTCATTTCCATATGCTAATCTCCCCTCCCCTCCTACAGGTGACCCCTCATTTTTCCCCTCACAATCAGAACAAACATATATACAAGCGTTCCCCTCCCAGCTTCAGGTAAAAAGAAGAGTAACCATCTGCTTCATTGGTGTGTCTGCGTCTCTCACCTGTACACACTATCTCCATCTGTATTGACTCAAGCATCTAGGTGTCCCCTTCCTTTTCCTTCAGACGGTTTTCCTTCTTTTTCTCTCACCACTCTCCTCGTTTCCAATACTCTCTCTGTGCTATATGCATATTTGCCCTTATACCATAGGTAACATACACAGGACATTTTGGCTCTCTTCTTCTCTCTATCTATACATGTCTTGTTATTGATTTCGATATGGTCTTCCATGAGTCATCTAGATTTTTTTCTTTTTTTTTCTCAAAATTTTATTTTTTAGAACTAAAAAATTCTTTAAAATATTTCTCAGATTTTTTGAAATTTTAGGAGAATTTGGCTCGTTTTTGGCCCGTTTCAGCTGATTTTTAGTCTGTTTCAGATGAAATTTTCTACGAATTTTGGAAATTCAGAAATTCAGAAATTCAGAAATTCAGAAATTCAGAAATTCAGAAATTCAGAGATTCAGAAATTCAGAAATTCAGAAATTCAGAAATTTAGAAATCCAGAAATTCAGAAATTCAGAAATTCAGAAATTCAGAAATTCAGAGATTCAGAAATTCAGAAATTCAGAAATTCAGAAATTTAGAAATCCAGAAATTCAGAAATTCAGAAATTCAGAAATTCAGAAATTCAGAAATTCAGAAATTCAGAAATTCAGAAATTCAGAAATTCAGAAATTCAGAAATTCAGAAATTCAGAAATTCAGAAATTCAGAAATTCAGAAATTCAGAAATTTGAAAACTCAGAAATTCGAAAACTCAGAAATTCGAAAATTCAGAAAGTCAGAAATTCAGAAATTCAGAAATTCAGAAATTCAGAAATTCAGAAATTCAGAAATTCAGAAATTCAGAAATTCAAAAATTCAAAAAAAAAAGAAATTCTAGAAATTAGGATTTTTATAGAAAATACTCCATAGTGAAAATTCAAACTTTTTGAACTTTTTGAATTTTTGTGAATTTTTGAGTTTTAAATTATGATAATTATGATAATTTACGGATTTTTAATTTTTCAAAAGTTAATATTTTTGGAATTTTTAAAAAAAAATTCCAAAATAATTTTTCTATCTATGAATCATCTTTTTCCTATTTTCCCCGTCCTCTCATATTTTTATCACCATATAAGGTGTTTGTTTGTTTTATCATTTTATCAATGCGAACAAGAAATGTCCAAATTTTCACAAAAAAATAATTTTTTGAAATAATCATAATTTTTCAAATTCTCTTCAGATTTTATAAGTTTGGTATCAAAATATGGGAAATTCAATTTTAAATTAAATAGCAACTATTTGAAAAAATCAACTTGAAAAAAAAATTTGCTCAGAAAATGATATTCTTAAAAATGTTTTTTTTTTGAAAATCTCAAAAATTTGAAATCTCTCTAACTCTCTTCATTTACATGCTATTTCCATGGTTCTACTATCAAAATGTAGGAAATTCAATTTTACATCAAATTTCAACAATTTCAAACTTTCCCCCAAAAGATTTCACCCAAAAAATGCTGCTCGAAAAATTGATTTTTTGAAAATTTCCAAAAAAAATCAAAATCTTGAAATCCCTCTAACTCTCTTCTTTTCTATCCTATCCCTATGATTTCACTACCAAAATGTAGGAAATGTTTTCTTCTCTCTATTTACAACATTTTTCTTATTCAAAACTTTTTTTATACCCCCAAAATTGTAGTTGAATGAATGATCCTACGGACTCTCTTACTGATCCTCATCGCTCAAGTCACATGGTGTCAAATCGGTCAACCAGGACAAGCACCCGGTCAAGTACCGCTGGACCCAGGATACCAACAACCGCTAGAACCAATCAAAAATATTCTCCAAGGATCATACGGTAACAATGTGACACTGTACTTCCGGAACAGTCCGTATCGTGTAATGGGTGATTTGACTGTTGAATATGGCGTCACCATGGATATCGAAACGGGTACAAGACTGTATTTTGATACGGGTGTCGGTTTAATCGTTAAAGGAACCCTCAGAGCAATTGTGAGTTTTTTTTTTACTTTTCGAGAAAAAAAATTTCGAAAAAAATTTTTTTTTTCACAAAATTTTAATATTTTTTTTCCTAAAAATCATGAATCTCCAACCCTGTAAACCTAGAAAAACACCAAATCCTTTCTTGGGAATCGAGCCTTTGACCTTCTGCACCATATCCATCTCTCTTACCCACTGCGCCACTCCCGGGCGGCGCCCACAGGGCGCCGCGGCAGCTTGGCGCAGTGGGTAGGAGGGAGGGATTTGGTGCGGAGGGTCATAGGTTCAATTCCCAAGTGGGGGATTTTAAGTTTTTCTAGGTTTTCAGGTTTGGAGAATCTTGATTTTTCGATTTTTATCAAAATTTGAAAAATTTGAATTTTCGAAATTTCGAACTTCTAATTTCCAATTCTTTCGCCCATTTCACTTTATACCTACATTGTCCTTTTCATTCAAATTTCCCATTTTATTTGCATAGTATTGTATTCATTCCGCTTGGTGGTGTTCCCTTTTCGAACATTTTCCAATTTCTCTAATATCTCTGCGTCTCTCACTATGGGAAAGTTGGGGATTGTAGTTTTAGAGACCTTGAGGATTCATAGGATCATAAATGTCTAGAAATTGAAAAAAAAACTATAAAAAATCCCAAAAAAAAGTTTTTTTTTTCAAAAAACTTTTTGTGAAACTAGCTTTATAGGATCATAAATGTCTAGAATCCCAAAAAAAAATTCAAAAATTTTCAAAAAATACCCTGTTTTTGTTTCGTAGGGTATTTTTTGAAAATTTTTGAAATTCTTTTTTTGAAATTTTTTTTTTTGAAAAATCCCAGAATTTCCTCAAAATTTCCAGGGCAATGAATTCGCGCATATCGAAATGCTTCCATATCAACAGCAAATCAATTATGACTCCGAGATGCCCAAATTTCGGCTGGTTGACGGTCCTACAGTAAGACAAGGACGCCTACAAGTGCAATTCAGGGATCGATGGAGATCCGTGTGTACGATGGTCACTAAGTGAGTTTTTTTTTTTTTGATTTTGAAATTTCCCAAAAAAGCAAAAAACAAAAAATCCCCACCTGGGAATCGAACCTATGACCTTCTGCTCCGAAGACATACCTCTTACCCACTGCGCCGCCATGCGCTTAGGCGCCCTGTGGGCGCCGCGGTAGGGGATATGACGCAGAAAGTCAGAAGTTCGTTGTGGTTTTCTAGTTTTGCAAGTTCAATTTTGAAAAAAATTTTCAGCTGGACCTCCATCGACACTGGAACGGCGTGCCGTTCCATGGGCTACTCGGACGGAGGATTCTGGAAATGGATGCTACGAAACAATGACACGTATCCATTCGTAATGCCAAGACCTGATTGCCATGGATCCGCAAAAAACCTATGGGATTGTCCAGCATTCTCGGACCCAAATAAGATCAGATTATCTGAAAATTTGTGTCAAGGAGAAGATGATTTGGGGATTTATTGTTGGGGACCTCCCACGTTTCAAGGGTGGGCGAGACATTGGAAAGGGATTCAGATTCTGAATTCTCCGTTTCATTATGTGAATTCGGACCCGGATTTGGTGGCGGTGAATCGAGAATCGAATTCGAGATTGGAGTTTGTGGATATACTGTATGCTGGATATGATGGGTAAGTATTCTGGTAATTTTTTTGAATTTCGAGTTTCCGAATTTTCAAAAACTGTAATCTCAGAATTTAGGATTTTTATTGAAATTCCGGATTATCCCAAATTATGAAATTTTCTAATTCCAGAATTTACGAATTTTTGAATTTTTGAATTTTTGAATTTTTGAATTTTTGAATTTTTGAATTTTTGAATGTTTTTCCAGATCCATCAAAAACGTCACATCAGCTTTATACATCGAAGGAGTGCCTCCTATAATGAATGGGTTACGAATAGAGCATAGTGCACGGGATGGCTTGCAGTTGTTGGATACAAACGGTAAGTAGTATTGTACCTGCACATCAAACTTTTTTCAAAAAATAAGTCGTGTTTATACTCATTTTGATTGCCTTGACCAGCTGATTTCAAAAATTTTCACTCCAAGCTTTTATCTCGAAAACTGACAAAGTTACAGTATCATTTACAAGAGGGCGCCGCGCACCGTCTAGCTTCTCTGTGATCTCTCCCTCTTTTTAGGTTTTGGACTGTATCTCGGCTCATAGTGACACGAATTCGATGAAACCAACATTTTTGGAATAAATAGAATAAGACGGTTCGAATGAGTATTATTGACATGTTTTTCAGTATTTTTAGTTTTTATGAAATTTCCAAAATTTTCAAATTTTCAAAAAACCTTGTCATGTATATACTCAATCAAACCGGTTGAACTTGCTCATTTCAAAAAACTAAGTTCCAAGCTTCTATCTCAAAAACTGCTAAAGCTACAGTACCATTTACAAGCGCGCGGCGCCCTCTAGCTTCTCTGCGCTCTCTCACCCATTTTACGTATTTGGCTATATATTGGCTCATAGTGACTCAAATTGAATGAAAACTATATTTATGAAATCAACATACCTAGACGGTTAAAATGAGTATAAATTTGACATATCTTTGAGAACTTCGATTTTTTGAAAAATTTCAAAAATTTCAAAGATATGCCAAAAACTGGGAATTCGTTATCTGAACATGGGTTGGGATAGAATTGCAAAGTTTGAATATATTTCTTATGTGCCTAAACCGTAGTTTTGAACACTGCAAAGCTCGTCATGCCACTGAAAATCCTAACATTTCCAGGACCCGCCATAATAGCCAACTCAACCTTCTCCCATAATCGAGGTCATGGAATTTTTGTCGTCAACACCACAGATGCCCGAATTTTCATAAATAACACTAGAATCGAAGGGAATTGGGGTGATGGAATATGGTATAAGCAACGGACGGGCGTCACATTGATTGATTACGGTATTCGAGAAAAACGTGGAATCGGATCCGGAAGGTTGGAAGAGGAAAAGCCAAGAATCGATATGTGTGGAGATCACAAAATTTCTGATAATCACTTTTTTCCACACTTGATTTCTGTTAATTTGAAAAATCGAACGTTTTTGGATCCGAGTCAACCGTCGAGTTGTTGGATGGTAAGCCTTTCTTTTGAAAAATTGGAAAACATGTTTTTTTGACAGTTTAAAAAAAAATTCAAAAAATCAAAATTTCCAAAAATATGTCAAATTTATACTTATTGGTCTTAACTTGCGAGATTCTTAACTTGCGAGATTCAAAAATATTACTTTTGGCAAATTTGAACAACTATGAGCCGAGATACAAGCAAATACGTACAGCGATGAGAGAGCGCAGAGAAGCTAGACGGCGCGCGGCGCCCTCTTGTAAATAGTACTGTAGCTTGATCAGTTTTTGAGGAAGACGCTTATAATCTAGATTTTCGAAATTCGCAAGTCGAGACGGTCTGAATAAGTATAAATTTGACGCATTTTCAAAAATTCTATATATAAGAAAGATTCTAAAATATTCCAAAAATAAGGGCTGTACCGGCGCTTCTTTGAGCCTATATATCTTGGTTCCTATGATAGGTATCAAAATGTGTCAACTGATAAATTGTTTATCATAATATCAGCTATATTCTATGACTTTACAATGTTTTCATATCTTTAACATGTACCGAGATAATTGAGCTCAAAGACAAAGGCTTGTGTGGTCTTCTATCAGAGGAAATACGGTATCTCACGGCATTTTTGTTGCGTTTCCAACTAACTTTAAATCTGAAAATATTTCCAGACTGTCTCTCTTCCACCCCGTCTACCGTACACCTACAGTCTCCAATGGCTACACATTCGAAATTTGAATCCATCAAAGACCCAAACCACTCTTCTCATCTGCGATTCCAACAACCCCGACGAGAATCATTGCTCAACTCCAAGATTTCGAATTCCGATCCGCGATCAAATTTATCCGCAAAGTGTCTCTCTGAAAAGTTCTGGAAAGCCATTGTATTTAGCATTGGAGCACGTTTTGGATAGTGAGCAGGCTGGATATGTTCAAAGAGACGTTCATTTGCTTTTCAACATTCATGCGTCGGTTTTAGGTGAGTTTTTGGAGTTTTTGAAAAAATTTGTGGTGCTAAATTTATACTCATTCAAACCGTCAAATTTCGCTGATTCCAAAAATATAATTGTCTCTAAAATTGGGCCCACATGAGCCGATAAAAAGCCAAATACGTTCAGTGGGTGAGAGAGGACAGAGAAGCTAGACGGCGCGCGGCGCCCTCTTATAAATGCTACTGTAACCCGGTCAGTTTTTGAGAAAAACACCTGAAACTCAATGTTTTAGAATCAGAAAGTCAAGACGGTTCGAATGAGTATAATTTTAACAAAGTTTTTTCGAAAATTGAGCATCTTGGAAATTTTGAAAAATGAAATATTTTTTCAGACAAAGCCTACTATGGCCTGAACGTTACCAATTGCATCATTGAGAAGAATACGGGAAATGGAGTGTTCGCAAATGATATTCGAGAGAGGACATCGCTGACTAATGTGACTTTGGATGAGAATCAGGGATACGCTGGTTTTTTGGTCAAGGTGAGTAGAGTGAATTTTCCGAAACATCAATTTCATACTCAATCGAACCGTCTTGCTTCGCTGATTCCAAAAAATTACTTTACAACCTTCCATCTCAAAAACTGACCAAATTACAGTACTCTTGAGAAAGGAGCGCCGCGCGCCGTCTAGCTTCTCTGCGCTCTCTCACCATCTTTACGTCTTTGGCTATATATTGTCTCATAGCGGCTTAAATTTGATGAAAACTATATTTTCAAAATCAGCATGACTAGACGGTTTGAATGAGTTTTAATTTGGTCCACTTCCTAAAATTTTGAATTTTGTAAAAATAAAAAAAAAATGTTTCAAATTTTTTTTTTTATGTGACAAGTTTATACTCAATCAAACCATTTTGACTTGCTGATATCAAAAAATTAAATTTCAAGCGTTAGTCTCCAAAAGTGACGAAGTTACAGTACCATTCACATGAGGGCGCCGCGCGCCGTCTAGTTTCTCTGCGCTCTCTCACCCCTTTTACGTTTTTGACAGCATCTCGGCTCAGAGGTGCTCAAACTTGATGAAAACTAAATTTTCCTAATTAGAAAATTTAGACGGTTCGAATGAGTATGAATTCGATATACTTTTTAAATTTTGAATTTTTTGAAAATTCCAATTTTCGTCCTAAATAAGCGAATTTCCACTTTTCAAAAAAACTTTTCAAAATCAAATAATCTGTAATTCCAGGACGGCGCCGCTGATATCTGGCTGAACGAGACCCGGATTTTTCGCAATTGGGGTGATGGAATGAATATTTCGTATGCTGGTGGATCGATAATGGTGAATGGGACCAGAATTGAGAATAATCGTTGGAGAGGCGCCGCAATTCACTATAACCAAACGATTCCATTTTTTCCACTATACAACGAAGTGATTTTTAAAGGACGCCCATCGAACAACAAATTCTATCTGCCTACAGTAATCTCCGAAAATGAGTGGGGTGGTTTATTGATTGGAAACTATTGTGCTTACGGGAACGAATCGCATTGGAGGTGGAATTTCAAAAATCCCCCTATCCAGTCCTTATTTCCAAAATTGGAATCAAAAATTTTGATCTCGTGGGTCGAATTTCTAAAAAATCAATATCACCCTTCCCTGGAAATCTTTTCGTGTCGAGACCCATATGTGACCCAGAATTTAATCGATATTACCGGAAATCGAATCGATGGAAATTTGGGATTTGGAATGAGGATATCACCGGCGGTTAACATGCACACACTGATAAGCTCTAATCAGTTCTTGCATAATAATGATACGGCGTTGTATGTGAGGAATGCACAATGGCCAGAGCTTGCGAATTTGCCAGCAGAGGTAGGTTAGAAAAAATAGTTCAAATGAGGTCAATTTTAGCTTTGAAAATATCAAACCCAAAAAATTTCGTCATGACCTATAAACCCAAAGAATTAGGTCATGACCTAGAAAACCCAAAAATGAGGTCATGACCTAGAAAACCCAAAAATTAGGTCATGACCTAAAAAACCCAAAAATGAGGTCATGACCTAGAAAACCCAAAAAATTTCGTCATGACCTATAAACCCAAAGAATTAGGTCATGACCTAGAAAACCCAAAAATCAGGTCATGACCTAGAAAACCCAAAAATTAGGTCATGACCTAGAAAACCCAAAAATGAGGTCATGACCTAGAAACCCAAAATATTAGATCATGACCTAGAAATTCAAAAAAATTGGTCATGACTTAGAAACCCAAAAAACTAGGCCACGACCTAGGAATCAAAAAAATTAGGTCATGACCTAGAAACCCAAAAATTTAGGTGATGACCTAGAAAATACAAAAAATTAGGTCATTTTTCAGGTCACAATCTCCAAAAATGTGTTCAAATTCAATCATGCCAAATATATCATATCGATTGGAATGAACGAGGATGCGAATAAGCAGTTTTTGACATTCAATCAACAAAATGAGGTGGGTTTTTTGAATTTTTTGACAAAAAATTTCAAAAAAAAACCCAAAAAAAAAGTTTGCCATCCAAAGGAATCGAACCATGGTCTTCTGCTCCAAATCCATCCCTCGCACCCACTGCGCCACCGTGCGCTTAGGCGCCCACAGGGCGCCGCGGTAGCTCAAAGCGCGTGCGTGGCGCAGTGGGGAAGAGAGATGACTATGGAGCAGAAGGTCATGAGTTCGATCCCTTTGGATGGCAAACTTTTTTTTTGGTTTTTTTTACGCTTGTATTTTTGGATTTTAGCAAGTTTCTCGCAAAATTAGAAAAAAAGTTTCAACAATGTTTTTTCAAAATTTCGAAAAATTTCCAGATTCGCGCCAATACCGTATTCGACCCATTCCCTTCCCTACCTCCAAGAAGTACACCATACGCGGCACTAGTCGTATCATCATCAAATGTTCGAATTCATCGTAATTGTTTCAACAATGAGCGAGCTAAATACGAAATAGCTACCGAGCTAGAGAGACATGCGAAATGGATTGACGCCAGAGAGAATAATTGGGGATTTCAAGAGATTCCAAGATTCATCGACAAGTTTTTCGATCAATTCAATCGATATTCATTGGCATCCATTGATATTGATCCTTATATGGCTGCTTGTAACCAGAGGATGCCTTATATTAGTTTGTTAAATGGACAGTTTCGACAGTTTAAGAAGGCATCCGAACCGAATAAGTTGGGAGGAATCATTTATGAGAATCATGATTTGTTGAAGGTGATTAATTGTGTCTTGAGCGCGTTATCTCCATCAAAATGACTATAAACATGATATTTTGGAAAAAGTTAAAAGGGGACTCCGACCAAAAATTTTTATTGCATTAAAATGTGTTAAAAGTTATCTGTTCTTCAAATATTATTGCGAAAAAATTCAAAGAAAATCCGAAATCCCCGAAAAACGGCGTTGAAAAGGAAGAAAATTCAAAAAAAGGTGCCGCCGGGGGACGAGGATTTTCAGTGAGAAACCTAGGCC